CCATGTGTGAAATCCAGCATGACTGCTGATGCCTTCCATGTGTGAGTGGTGGTCTGTGGGCAGTGCCTGATGACCTCATCTGGTGGATATTCTTTTCCATCCTCCTCCTCCTCACCCCACCCCCGTAACCCGGGTACAGAAACATTCAGGACATTAAACCCTGGGAACCTCAATTTGAGATAAGACCTCTTATGTCCTGCGGGTCAATAGGAGTGACTCAGGCATTATGAGAAGCACATGGTCATGGGGCCTGTGAGGACCACCTTCACTTGGGGATGAGTCCTTAGTTAAGCTTATGCTTGATGTTGCAATCTCGAACAGAAAAGGGGGCTGAGAGAGGAGAGAGGACAGTAGAGAAAGGGGGAAGATTTATTTTAAAGAATTATGTTTAAGGAATCAACTCACACGATTATGGGGATGGCAAGTCTGAAATCTGTAGATCAGGCCACAGACTGGAGACCCAGGGAAGAGCTGATATTGGCATTGGGGTCCAAAGGCAGAATTCCTTCCCAGTCTGTGCCCTCACTTTAACAGCAGATGCTCTGCAAGGTTGGGAATTCAGTTTGCGTTGTAATTCAGACACTGGCAGGATGAGATCCTACTTCTGATTTTCAGCCATCTCAGCTCTGCATGTGTAAGACATACGGGCAGACACAGAAACTTGTGATTCGTTCATGTGGTGCTTGAGCTGGGAATTTGAATCCCTGAATTCATTCTTTTTTTACCGCCCACTTTGTTTAGTACAATTAGGAGCAACCGACCACTCTCGTTGTACTTGTTAATTTGACAAAAATGTTTAAGGTATCGGCTACACAGTCACCTAGAACCTTCCCTCTTAGAAGCCTTTGTGAGTATTTAATAATATTTTCTGTATCTCTATTGTCCCATCATACCCTGTACTCTCCTGTTTTTACTACTGGAAGTAGACTCATTAGTGCCTTTAAATCCAATCAGATTTGAGAACGAATTTCAGAAACCTCAGAACCCATTCAGAAAACTCATTTTTAAGATGATGTTCCTCTAGAACCACTCTTGCTACGAAAACCTGACAGCACAGGCCCCAGGCTGTTTGTTAGGCTCTGGCATGAATTCTTGCAAAGGCGAAGGAGAATGATGAGAGCGTGTGTAACTGTCTGCCTGTCTGTCTGTCCATCCCAGTTGGTTTTCACTCTGCTTTAGTGGCTGCATATTGAGCTACAGATACTGGTTTTCCACAGTTCCCACTTTGGATTTGTTCTCCTGCTTCTTGTCCATGGGAAGTGACCGCCAGAGCTAGGAGCTGTCAAGCAGTTTTAAACCCCAGCCTTGCGTTTATTCTTCATGAATGCACACGGGACCCAGACTGGTTGCAAATGAGCACTAGCTCCCATCCCCTGCAGTTCTTGGCCTTACTAGAGAGCCTGCCAGAGGCTGGCTTGGTCACATCCTTCAGTTTAGACTTTCCCTGAAGAAGAAAATCACGAAGGTCTAACGGGTGCCAAGAAAGCATCAGCAGCGTGTTTAGAGAAGTGCAGAAGGGCCAATTAAGCCTGTTCCGTGGTTTATTATTATTAGTGGTAATTATTTCTGGCGTGCAGTTCAAGGGTGTCTATGGCCTAGCTGAGCTCCGGAAGTGCATCCACAGCTCGCTGCTATGAATGTTTATAGACCCAGGAGAGGGGCCCTGGGTTGGGGGTTCCAGACCACCGGGGATGGGAGGCAGAGACTCCATGTATAGATCATACTCTTGTGGAGGTAGAGGCCTTGTACACGATGGCTAAACTCTTGTCCCGATTCTGGGCTAAGAAAGAAAGAAAGCCCAAAAGACAGCAAGGACCTCTGAATCCCTGAGGGAATTTGAACAGAGCAAAGTAGAAATGAGCCACAGGATGGCTCTGTCCCTCCCCTAGCATCCATAACCCTGTCCCTGAATGTCCCTATCTTTGCTTGGCTCTGGCCCAGAAGTCCACTTGGCCTTTGTCTAAGGAGGCAGGTTCTGCTCAGCAGTGGCATTGAAAGCTCAGACCCTGTTTTGGGTTTTCTCGAGGCTGAAGGCCAAGTTCATTCTCTTGAAGTGAGGTACATATTCCTGTGCACAGAGAGAAGGGGAATCCAGCTCCTCATAGAGCAGCTCCCCACCCCAAGCTGAGTCGTGTTTCGCAGGGAGAGATAAGCCTGTGGTCAGCAGCATTCACCCCCATGGTATTCAGGCCACTTTCCAAGAACCAGCCCCTCCTTGTACTCAAGTTTCCAGAGGCAGGGCTGAGGAGCAGGCACAGGGAGAGGATGAGCGTCGGCAAGTTACAGGAAACTCAGGAAAATGTTTATGTGTGTCTAGGGATTTTCAGAGACCATCCAGCCATTCTTTATCTCCAAGTGCCTCTGCTCTCATGAACTTCTTCATGTTCATGAAGCAGGACAAAAG